TTCCCAGGTGCAATGATTAATGATCTGTTAAATATTTTAAACTGGGTAAAGTGAGCTTGTTAACTGGTCTGCATCTCATTCCATCACCCTGAATCATTCATAAAAGTTAAATTTCTTCAGGGCTTCAGTGCCTTCAGTCAAACATGAACAGATTTTTCGCCAAAGCACTTGTGTGTGATTGTTCCTTTAATAATAATTATTCCCATAAAGAGAGGAAAGGTTGTGTGTTTCCACACTAGAGGCTTTTAGCTCTGTCCATTCATTATTCTTCCACTATGAGCCACATGTGGAATTACAACGTAATGCTTTCAATTCATGGGTTATAACACATTTTCTGCGCATCACACTATGTTTCATCAAGCATAAGTTCAGAAATTACCTTCTAAAGGTAATTCATTCATGTTACTGATTGCAGTGTATCATAATTAACCCATTCATGACAATGTTAAAAAGTAACTCATATCACTTGTTTCAATTTCTATTATTTTTAGAAGAGAAATCTTAGGCTAGAGAAAGTATGGTGTCAGATTCCTCTCAAAATGTTTGTAATACTGTCAAAGAACCCCTTCAAAAGAAACGTTTGAAAATAACTTGAAACTTTTACTCTTGTAAAGTGATTACATTCCTCCTCATTGTGTTGTTTTTGAAATATAACTTCATTATGTTCTATTATTGAGGAAACGAATTGCACAAGAAGATTCATTATTTATAACTTATTGCTCCAAGTTCTGATCCACCACTACTGAGTCACTTGGGTGGGAAAATGAAAATACAGCTAATTATATCATTTTATCCCCATGGTTTTAAACAGAATATGCCCATTTGCACTTAAAACATTTTTCCACTTAAGCACTATTGTTATTTTTTAAAAAATTAAAAAAAATCCTCTGGGTGCATGTTTAAAAGATCAGGATTTTGTTTTCTTTTTTAATTAAAGAAGTGTTACAATGATTGGGATGTGGTGGTCCTGTGGGCTAAACCGCAGAAGCCTGTGCTGCAGGGTCAAAAGACCAAGCAGTCGTAAGATCGAATCCACGTGACGGAGTGAGCCCCCGTCGCTTGTCCCAGCTCCCGCCAACCTAGCGGTTCGAAAGCATGCAAAAATGTGAGTAGATAAATAGGGACCACCTCGGTGGGAAGGTAACAGCGTTTCGTATCTAAGTCGCACTGGCCGTGTGACCACGGAAGATTGTCTTCCGACAAACGCTGGCTCTATGGCTTGGAAACGGGGATGAGCGCCGCCCCCTAGAGTCGAACACGACTGGACAAAAATTGTCAAGGGGAACCTTTACCTTTTTACAATGACACTGTCCAAAAAGATAACAGGGCAGATAGAGACAAGGTGCTGTACTCAAACTGTTACACAAATGTTAACACAAACCTCTTCGTCAGTATGTGAGAGTAACACTCAAGGCAGGTCATACCTACAGACCTCCACAGTTCTTTTTCAGAATGCCAGATGTTATAGCTATCATGAAAATATGATTTCCTAAAATACAGAAGAGGAATGAAATGGTGGTGACATCATATATAGGGAGTGACAACTCTTGAAAGGAAAACAAGTGAGTGAGTAAAGAGTATCAACCTCTATGCCCACATCTAACTGTAAGGTGGAAGTAGAACAGGTCTACGGACTTGGTGGGAATTACATGAGTACTGACTTAGCAAAGTCCCATTTATTTATTGGCTTTTCCTCTAGCTGGGACTAGCAATCAGATTCAGGCCCCTTGCACAAGCATCTTTAGAGAATTAGCAACCTTTCACCATGAGGATGTCCCTCAAATACCCCCTTTCCCTTTAGAATTGTACAACAGCAAAACAAACAAGCAAACAAAAAAGCCAGTATTTTCCAACACTGCCACCTTATGCATTTGGAAATCTCATCCCAGAGATTCAGCATTCTCCCCTTTTAATCAGGACAGGAAGAAATCACCTCCTCTTTCTCTCACATAGCAACATAATTCACTCTCCCTCAGGAAGCTACCTGGGAGAAACACAGCTAACAACCTCACCCCTTTTCTCATAGAAACAACAGTGACTCCAGACTAGCCCTCATGTGCAATTTAATTTAAAAACTGGGGGGGGTGCTCTCTTTTCTAATCCTATTAAGACATCATATAATCTGGTGCTGTGAACACTATTAAAGGGGAGTGGTTAGCCTTCCTCCTATATGCTTTTGTACTCTTCGTGGCTTTAGTGCCAGACAAGAAGACAAGAAGGGTCCTGTTCACATGCAGGTTCTACCAATGAGCAGTTTTCCAGGGTTCTTGCTTGCACATAGGGCGTGCACATGAGCAGCAACCTCTCCATTTTCAGTCATCTCCTGTGAAGACCATAGGAGCCAGAGGAGAAAAAGGTGTCAATGATAGAGGATGAAGACCAATCAATCGGTCAGTCAAACAAACAAACAAAAGCACTGTAAGTGAAAGGAGCTGCTGTGATTCATTTTGTCTTAATCACTAATAGAATAAGTATGAAAAAAGCAGCAATTGAACATGTGAACATGGGAAATCGCCCAAAAATGAGCGGCTGCAAAAAATATCTTGATAAGGCCAATGACCCTGAAAAGTACGCCTGAAATAACTCCTATTAATTTAGATACTAGTGATATCATTGGGTGGTAGCCTTTGATCTCTCCCACTTGCGCAACCAAGGAAATTCCCATAGGGCTTCCTACTGAATATCTCACAGCGTCATTTGCATGAAGCACAAGATAGGAAGTGTCAGTATATTGTGCTTGTGGCACATTGAGCAACTGCTATTCATGGCAAATGCAACATCGGTCAGGGCAGCAGAGGTACAATCCCAGTAGGGAGGATTTAGTTCATCTGGAGTAGGGTCTAAAGGAAGCCACCCTATAGGTGAAAAGGTGCAAAAAGAGTCTTAGAGCACTTTTTTTCCAGCACAGGAAGAATAATGGTAAATACCGAGCAGTTCTGCAAAGAAGAACCTGTTATATATGCCTTCTAGAGTAATTTTGGTTTCAGCAAGATTTCCAGTTCCTTAAGGATTACCCCCCCCCCCCCAAGGTTATTTGACACCACATATTAACCATACAGCCTTGGATTTTGCTTCTTTCTCACCTTCCCTCCCTTCCTTTTCCATCAGGGTTAACAACTACAGTGGGGCTAGTGGCCAATTTTCTACCCCCACACATTCTACCAAAAATGCCAAAGGGGAAAACGGAAATTTGAAGTGTCTAGAAGTCTGGTTCCACTTTTGGCAAATGGATATTTCAAGAGCAGAAACACCCTCTCCCCCTTTTGCTGGGAGGGATAAAAAGAGAGAATGGAAAGAAAGAAGTGGAGGCACAAAAAGAGGCCTGAGGACCACATGTGGCCACATTTTATCTGTATCTACCTATTGCCATGCTATAGCAAGGACTCCAGATATGTAAACAGCAGGTGGAATTGTGGGTGGGGGATCAATTGGGGAAAATGCCTGATTCATCATCTGAGTTGCAAATTTAAAGGTATATGAGTGAATTCCAATCCATATGTTCTGGAACTGCACTTCAGAATTTTATCAAAACTTCACCAAAGGTCACACAACCTGTGGGAGAAAGCAAAAATGACAAACTTGCCCATCCCTATCTGTCAGCACCACTGTTTTCCATATTCTTTTTGCTAATAATTCATTTTTTTTCTGTCTCCATTCAAAACCCAGAACTGTTCATATAAGACCGACATCTTTCACAGAAAGCTGTTGAATGTGTACTGAAATGAAAGAGAAATGCATTTAGGCACAGCCAGCTAGCCAGTACAGTGGGGTCTCGACTTACGAACAGCGCGAAATACGAACGTTTCGACTTACGAACCGCTCTCATAGGAATATATGGACTCGACTTACGGACTTAGATTCGAGTTACGAACTCTTTTTTTCCTTTTTTTAAAGCTAAGTCATCTTAGGTTAGAAGGAAAAAAGAAAAAATATCCCCATCTAGTGGCAGAAGGCGGAATAGCAGCTTCCCATTAGTTTCTATGGGCGAAAAGAGCAGATACGGATTAAATGGTTTTCAATGCATTCCTATGGGAAATGCAGATTCGACTTAAGAACTTTTTGACCTGAGAACTGCCTTCCAATACGGATTAAGTTCGTAAGTCGAGACCCCACTGTATACACGATTTCTCTACAAATTTGAGATTCAGTAGAATCTACTGAAGATAAAGACCATACAAGGTCTTTAGGATTGTGGAGGAATTGTTTCACACAGATTTTGAACTGAAATGAATATCTCCCAGACCACTCTGCATAGGTCTGTGTTTTCCAGAACACACAATAGTCTATAAAGTGATCCCACAGCTACCTTTTCTCAAATTCGTTTTCTTCCCTGTGATGTCTAGAAACAGAAAGACTGGAAAGAATGCTGCTGCGACACACCTCAGAAATGGGATCACGAATGACCCTGAAAGGATGGGACACAGTGACAGGTTGTTCTTCCTTGAACAACCAGGTTTGAAACAAAATGGCCACAAGAAAAGCAGTATCCATTCCCACCATATTTCCCTCTCCTTCTATCAAGTTTACATCTCCACATTTGCTTTTACTTTTTAAAGTTGTTGCAGAACTTAAAGTCCTGCTATGCTGCACTGACTTTTCACCACCTGCCTCAAACTCTGCAACTTCATATATAAGCTCTGTATAAAACTAAATGGGATACAGGGCTACCATTTCCTTCCAATCTTCCAGAAGAAGGTAAGTCAGGTCTGGCCATCTCCTGACTGGAACTGGACAAGTTATGAATGACATGGGTGAGCCAGAAGAAGAGAGAGTGATGAATATTACAAGAAACTGTTGTTTTCAGTAACAACCTGCCTGTCAAGTTCCATATATCTGAAGTTTAGCACTCTAATTGTGCTCTCTGTTAGGGATCCCTATACATCACCTCTCAAAGACAGTCTTCACTGTCAATGGAAATGCTGCTGCATTCTGCTGGTTCATCCCACCACATTAAGTTCAAGAACAGAATACAGGGGCAGATGTTAAAGAAGTCAACAAACCTTTAGTTCCTCCTGGATTTTCTCCTCCATCAGTTTTGCGGCTTTGCGATCTTCTGTCTCTATTTTCCACTTCTCTGCCACTATTCGAGCTTTCTCTTTAGCCATAGCATCCCGAAATTTCTTTGTAATTTCAGCTTCTTTTTGCTTCCTTTAAAAGGAAAGGGGGGAATGTAAGTGAGGGACATTATATCTTAAAGTTCTCCCATCCAATTCAAATACAAATGGAATAGCCATACTTACAGGCTTTTCAGCTAATTATATAATCTCCAACATGAGGAAAGTGAGATATTTTGCTAAAAGAGGAAAATAACAAAACGGGTAGGAATAAATTACATACCTCAGGGATTAAACATTGAAAATCACTTTGAAGGGAACCCTATATTTTTAACAGAAAAGACGAGTGGAATGTGAGAATCTCTATCCAATACTATTAGCATCAGTAATTCCTGGAATTTAGTGTGTTTTGTAGATGCTCACCATAATTCCTCAGCTTCCTTTTGGGCTTGTTGTCTTGCTCTTTCAGCAATAAGTTCCTCAGAAATCTGCTCATACGGTTTGTCTCCAGGAGCGTCTCCCATAATCCAAACCCAGACCTCACCATCTGTCCCAAGGAGCCACTGAATGTGCTTGCCATTATCTGAAACTGCCACAAAAATAAACACAATAGATTTGTAGTAATTTAATAGGCACAGAATCTCATAGCCCACACAAGGATCCCTTCACAGATTGCTGCTTGTCGTGGTGAAGGGGCTTGGTTAATTCAGAAAAGCTATGGGCTATGCCGTGCAGGGACACCCAAGATGGACAGGTCACAGTGGAGAATTCTGACTAAACGCGATCCACCTGGAGCAGGAACTTGCAAGCCACTCCAGTATCTTTGCCAAGAAAACTCCGTGGACAGAAACAAAAGGCTAAAAGATATGACGCTGGAAGATGAGCCCCTCAGGGCGGAAGGCGTCCAACATGCTACTGAGGAAGAGCGGAGGACAATAAAAAGTAGCTCCAGAGTTAATGAAGTGGTTGGGCCAAAACCAAAAGGATGCTCAGCTGTGGACACACCTGGAAGTGAGAGGAACGTCTAATGTTACAAAGAAAAATACTGCATAGGAACCTGAAATGTAAGATCTATGAACCTTGGTAAGCTGGATGTGGTCAAACAGGAGATGGCAAGAACAAACGTTGACATCCTGGGCATCAGTGAACTAAAATGGATGGGAATGGGTGAATTCAATTCAGACGATTATCATATCTACTATTGTGTGCACGAATCCCGTAGAAGAAATGGGGCAGCCCTCATAGTCAACAAAAGAGTGGGAAAAGCTATACTGGGATACAATCTCAAAAATGATACAGTGGTACCTTGCAAGACAAATGCCTCGGGCAATGAAAAACTTGCAAGACGAAAGCGTCTAGAGAGTTTTTTTGTGCCCCGCAAGATGAACATATTTTCATCTTGCGAGGTACGTTTTCCCATAGGAATGCATTGAAATGTAATTAATGCGTTCATATGGGAAAAAATCTTTTAACAATCACTTATCAGGTAGAGAACTGGGGAAGCACCATCAGAGGACTGGCGGGGGTCCCCTGCAACTTCAATAGCTGCTTTCAGAGGTTCCCTGGCAGTCCTCCGATGGTGCTGGGCAAGCCTTCCCCAGCACCATTTTTGAACTTCCCACCCTTTTCCCCTGCCTTTTTCATTTGGAGGCTTGCCGAGGCCCATCACAGGCAAGCCTCCAAATGGAAAAAGGCAGGGGAAAAGGGTGGGAAGTTAGGTAGGGGAAAAGGGTGGGAAATTGAAAAATGGTGCTGGGGAAGTCTTCAGAGGTTTCCGAAGCTGGCAATTACGGTTACAGGGGCCCCCGCCAGTCCTCCAATGGTGCTGAGAAAGCCTCCAAAGGCTTCCCCTGCACCATCGGAGGACTGGCAGGATGGAGAAGGGGAAGATATGAAGGCAGTGAAAGATTAGGTTCAATCGTACTGCATATACAGAATGATTCGTCATAACTAAGCCAAGCTTGACCCGCAAAATCTACATAAGCCCTGTAGATTATGTCCAAGTATTTAAAGAGAGATTGGCCCCGCCAAGGCTGAGCCTTTACGACAACCCCTGCGTAGATTATAAAACCAGGAAACCAATTCACCTATGTCCTATCTGGTTTCTTCCTTCCGTGCCTCTCCTTATCTTTCTCATCCTCCTTGCTCAAATCCTTTTTCTCTACATTTCTGTTTAGCAACTCAAAGAAATCTATGTTGGTTACCCTTTCAATTTTTTTCTTTAGTTGCTGGGGTGAGGTGGTCCCCTAAGGGCGCTGTGTAATCCCCCACCAGCACAGCTTGCACAGGTACCATATTAAAACCTGTGTCTGGGACAGATGGGTATGGCCAAATCCCGGCACCAGGCACCGGATATTGTGGGGCTGAGAATGCAACGTGTGGATATGCTGCAACCCAACCACCATAATGCACACTCGAGCCAGGCCAAGGGTAATTAGGAGCCACAGAACTCTGCACATCATAGGGTGTGTAAAAGGGGGGACTAAGCTGCCCACTGCCTGGCCAAGGCCAGACAGGTGTTGGAGAAGGAGTATCCAGTGCAACAGTGGACTCACCAGTCATAGGGGACGTCACAGTTGGTTCTTCCCTGCTGTACTGATATTCGGGGCTAGCCCCAGCCCACATTTCAGGCATTCCCTGGACAGCTGCCGCTGTACCTTCTGCTGCTGGAATCGGTGACACACTACTGTCCTCAGTTCAATAGCATCTTGGTGTAACTGTTGACCCCTCTGGCTCCCACCTGGACGCCCCTACCGACTGCAGTTCTGCTTCCAAAACAGCAAACCTAGCCATTAGGTTATCAGCCATGGCTTTAAGTTTAGCCTGGTGATGGCTCTCAGCGTCCCTGGCCGAGTGACGCGGCTGCTGCAGGCTGGCCTGCGTGGCCTGGCTCACCGCTCTTTCAGCTTCTAAGGCAACTATTTTTTCTTGCAATTGCTGCCAAACGGGCCAGGACTCCTCATCTGATGATGACTGAGGTGGCAATTCCAGAGGGACTGGTCTTTTCTTGGCTGGCTACTTCCCCTTTTTGTTACCCTGACCTTTCCTGGAAGCCATTACCACCCAGAGGTCAATTCCAGAAGAAACCCCACAGACCTTTCTACCACAATCACCCAAGAAATTACAACGTCCCTCTTTGCTGTAAGTACTTGTGTTGCCAAAATAAGCCAATACCTATGAGGGTATTGTAATCAATTACCTATTTGCCAATTACTAAATAAATGTATTAAATCAATGTATACCACTGCAATTAAAATACCAATATAATTATTTGATGAAGCCTGCATATTCAATCCTAAATTATTTATTGCATCCAATTGCACTATGTAAGATTACAAAGAAATCAATTTATCAACGTGTTTATTTTAATTAACTCACCAATTAAAGATTTTACCAATATTAGTATTAACGCCAAATCCAATCAATAAGGTCTATTTAATATGCCGTATGATGACTGTTCATGAAATTTCAATTACTACTTTTGTTGCTGTTGTTTAGTCGTAAAGTCATGTCCAACTCTTCGTGACCCAATGGACCAGAGCATGCCAGGCCCTCCTGTCTTCCACTGCCTCCCAGAGTTTGGTCAAATCCCAGAGTTTGGTCATTTACTACTAGTGTTTATTAATCAATTATCCAATCACTAATCTTACCCTATATATTTAATTGTTGCTTATTTGAATAATTACTTTAAAAGAAGGATCCTCACTAACTATTAATGCGTAGAATTGATGAGCAATCAAATAACAATTAAATTGACCCCTTCAGTTAAATGATTAAGTTGTTTATTTGATTTCTTAAAAACAATATAAGCTCCTAGATAATTAAAAGTAGCCTGTGGAATACCAGCAATTCCTGATTGAAAAAGATGGCCGACCACCGAAACGTGATAAGATCCAACTGCCCAGCACATGGCCCAGTTCAAATTCAAGTGTCACCCACCTCCATCGATTTATTACTACTCAAGGCAATGGGGAGTGTAAGGGTGGGATGGGGTGGGAAGGGGGCTAGGGGAGTGAAGTGCCCAATGGCTGAGGTGCCAATTAACCGGCATCAAGCTGATTAACTGGAGCAAACACCAGCTTGATCAAGTGCCTAGAAAAAGGAGATTGTGGCAATGCGCAGCCCATGTGAGCTTCCCCCCTTGTTAAATATCACTCAAATCAGTACTTGACCAGCTTTTTAGCCAAAACAACCAGTCGGGCACCCAGCAGCAACCCAGTCTAATGCAACACTAAATAAGCCAAAATATTATCAGTTAATCAATCCAACCAACAATTGTTTGAGCCAAGTGACCTAGGAAAAAACCAATTCGCAGCATGGCACAGCTGGTGTGAGTCATGTGGAGTCATGCCCTCCCCCTATTAGCATAAATTAACCCAAGCTAAATCTAAACATTTCAACTAAGCCAAATTAATGTTAATCATTCTAAAAGTAAATAAGTAAAGCTAAGCAAACCAAGGGAGGGAGCTGATGCTACCTCCCCCTTTCCAATGCTCCGAGCAGCGCTGGCCTTGATCAAAGGAAACAATCAGCCAAGCACGGTTCGAATGAAACAATTAGCCTCACACCAACTACGCAGCTCGAAGAAAAACACTAGCTGAACTCCTTCTCCACTATTGCCAGTGAAGGAACAGGAGGGGGAACAGCCCCTTAAATAACCTGCCGTTCCCCCCCTCCTTATATGAAATGCTCTCACGAGACTTAAGAGGCCTCCCGATTTCTGGGGATTTAGGCAAAGACAAGCCACAGTGTTGAAGTGGCTCGACTACAACTCGAACATTAATGAGAGTCCCCTACAGGTTGACATAATGCATACTATATGTATTGTAGGGGGGAAAGGTTCTGGTAAAATGTTACATAAAGTGTTTGAAAGCATACTAGCAATAGCACATCTTTATACAGTAAAAAGTGCCAGGGAGCAATACCAAGTATTGTATATAATATTAAAAAGATGGGAGAAAGCTGCAAGTCAGCAGAAACATAAACCAAGTTGTTCACCATGTAGTCCCCCAAAGACAGGAACAATAAAAGAAAGGCAGGGATAGCAGTGTAGTTTTTGTGGAAACCAATCTGAAAACACCACATGCACAAAACATCTATTGTTTTCATAAACAGGAAACAGGTTTCTCACTACAATAAGCCTATATGCTGAAGAATATCCTTCGCCAGCTTAGGGGCAGTTATTTGTGTTAGACCAATGATTTTTTTAAAAAAATTAGTTGAAGAATGAGGTAGAAAATGCAAACCCAAACCACATATGGTCATCTTGTTTAACCATCATAATTGAAGAAATAAATCAAACTTAAAGAAGTTACCTTTTGAGGAGGGATGAAGAAGAAGAATTTCTATGGTATATGGGGCAGATTTCTTGAATATGTGCTAACAAGAGGAAAGGGGAAAGCTCCAAATCAAGAATCAGTGCAGTTCTGGAGAAGAGGACAATAAAGGAAGAAGAAGAATAAAGACAGAGGAAGAAGAGGATTACTGCAAGATGTCCTGACTATGGTGGTGGGAAACAAAGTTGATTTTTATTTTGATTTATGTATTTTATGTTTATGTTGTAGTTTAAGAAAAAATTTAAAA